TTTTAAATAGTTGATTTGATATTAACATTGATATATTTTTTTTCAAATTTTTATGATATCTTCAAATTTATATCTTATTCAAAAATAAAATCATCATTGATTTTTTTTTAAACACATAAATCGTATTATAACATCGACAAAGACAAATAATAAAATAGAACATTAAAATCGAGATGTGTCTCCCTGCATTGCACGAATACTCTTCTAGTATATACAAAAAAAATTCCAAAACCACTACAATCAAAGCCTTAATGCCACATGTAACATTCAAAGATTTCAAGAACTTCATAACATTCCACAAAATACAACTCTAATATGACTACATCACATGAGTGATAGTGTATAACATATATTTTACATACATGTTTAAAAGATGAACCGTTTTTAGGAGAATTATGTATTAAAATATATATATATATATATATATATATATATATATATATTCACGAAAAAATTATTATGTATAAGTTAATTTTCTATCTGGAGCTATATGAAAGCCTAACTCAATCTTGAAAGAACCAGACAAATGACAGTCTCTTATAAATAATTTGGGTTATTCTTTTTCTTTAAATTATTTATATACGTATCTGATAGAAAGAGATAAATGATGTTGTCTGTTATAAAGTTATAGGATTATCGCGATCTCTTTGTTCTGATGAAAACTCGTCTGATGATGATGTTGTCTTATTTTTTCTGTACCGGTTTTAAACATTTAATATGTAATACAAAGATTAATGAACTCATATATTGAAAACCTTATCTATGACCATATCAGATAAAGTTGACCATCAACACAGCTCTTTAATGACTTTTTACACCGTAAAAGATGATTTATCACATATAATATGTTTATATATTTGAATATGATTCTATGTACATCAATATTTGTTAGAAAGTGGTTTGAATGATTAGATGAAGTTTTAAATACACTTTTTTTTTGCAAGTCTACCGTATTTACAAGTGTTTTAAATAATAAAGAGTTGAAAGACCATGTAATTGTTCGTTTTACTATAAACTAGTAACTTGCAAAATAAGAGTTTGTTTGTTAGTAGCTTAATGAGTTTAATAGAACCTACTGTTTATTTACTCAGTTAAATATGACTGTTTAAAAATGGTTTAATAATATATAAAGTGACTTATTCAGTAAGATATTAGGAGTAGATTTATGCAGAAAGTCAAGTTTTTTCCAAATCTACTCCTCCCGATTAACAACATGATCATTTATCTATGAAAAAACCCTCTTAAACAAAAGTTTTCTCATTCTATACAGACAAATTATTCTGCATTATATCCATACAGGACTTTAGGGGTTGTTTGATTGGTTTTTCATTAAGTCATGTAGATAAAGTTATTTGTACGGATTAAACTGTCTATATAGATTGAGAAAATTTTTGTTTCAGAGAGACTTTTCATAGATGAAAGGAACGTGTTTTTCAATTGGAAGAGACAAATTTTAAAAAAATGGCTTTCTGTATAAAGTTTCCCTCCCGAAAAGCTTACAAAATAAGTCATTTTCTATATTTTAAACCACCACCAATCATTCAAGTATAAGTGACTGAATACATTGTTAGTTCCATTAAACTCATTAAGCTACTGACAACACATCTTTAATGGAAAACAAACTAAACAACTCTTAAATTTAATAGAATAACTAAGAGCATCTCCAACAGTCATGTTAACATAGAGAAAAGAGGGATTTTAACAATTTTTCTACTCTAACAACTATAGTATCTTGAATGCTAAAATAGAGTAAAGAGGATAAAGATTGTAAAATCTCTAAATTTAAAGAAATCTCTAAATAAAGAGAAAAATATTATTTTATGCTTTCCCACAAATAACAAATATTGAATATAAGTGTTTGAGAGAAAAAATAATAATATTTTATTAAATATATTGAATATCTATACTATATTATAAGACATTTGACAAAAACCATTAAAAACCAACTTTTATGTATGAAGTACTGTTTATTGATGTACATTACTTAAAATTTAAGATTACAAGTAAATTATGTGTAACTACAACTTATTAAAGTTTCATATTTAAATTCATGTAACTAACTGCAAATAAACATGATCAAATAAATGATAAACATCTCAAATTAAATGTAATTAGGATAACCATTGAGTTGTAACAAAATATACTTAATTATTATCTTTACAAAAAAATATATTATTAAACTAAAAATAAAAAGATGAATTAAAGAAATACACAAAAAATGAGAAATTTTAAATAGTTAGTTTGGTACTAATATCAATAAAAAATTCAAATTTTTATGATATCTTCATACTTATATTTTATTCAAAAATAAAAATGTTATGTTTTTTCAAAACCACATAAAACCATACTATAACGTCGATAGAGACAAAGAAAAAAGAAACATTAAAATCGAGGTGTATCTCGTTGTATTACGCGAGTACATCTAATAATATAGTTAGTGCTATAATTACTAAAATCGAGTACCTATTGAAGTTTAATATAATTTTGTTAAAGATTATGATTTTTGATATTTTATTCTAGAAAAAATATAACATATCTATTGGAGATGCTCTAATAAATTATATTACAATAAATTTCAAAACCTTGTTGTGCTTGATAAGTAAGGCCGTATGAAGTAAGACTAAGCAAGACCGAATATTTTGTGGCTCCCACCAAAATTACTGGAATAAAAATCAGGAAGGCGAAATAAAATTAGTAAATAACTAATATTAAATCAAAATTAATAATTCTTTTATCCATCCATCTTTTTTTTTCCAGATAATTATCATCTATCTTTATATCAATCACGGTATAAAAAGTAAAGGATGAAATCAACAATTAAAAATAGAATGACGTTTACGTCAATTTTAGTTGACGGTAATTAACATTTTGTATTTAATAAAAAAAGGTTAAATAGAAATGAGTTTCACTTTTTATCTTTTATAAAGTATTTTGAAGTTTTCAATAGAAATAACTCTTATCAATTTAAGACCTAAAAATGTAGTAGACACATTGTACGATACATATCATAACATTCAAATTTTTGTTATAAACTATTAAATATTGATGGCTAAATTTTCACAATTATCCCCAACTCTCATTTCTTTTTCTTTTTTCGAGTTGTATAAATCATTTTTTTTATAACAATTTGTGTAATTTTCACAATTAAACCCTTAATCATATTGTCTTACATTTATTATATAAGAAACCAAAAAAATATTACAACTATCACATTAAATAATATTTTATAATATATTATGTAATTTTCATAATTAAATTCACGATTGTGGTTTACTGATTACCAGGTTTAAATGCAGACGTTGATATCTTTTTGATCATAAAGATTCATCGATAATAGCTTCGGACTGTTTGGGATGACTCAAAAAGTAATTAATACATATGATCTGAGTCGGAAATTCACGGTTACAGAAAAATATTGTATGAGAAACAAAATATTTAGAGAAGAATTTGAAAGATAATATAATATGAAAAAGAGGTGATAATTAGCCATGTGAGTCATTTTGGTTGCGCTATAAAAACAAGGCCACTGCACCACAACCCAACCTCAGCCGCCCTCCTCCCTCTCTTTTAATTTTCCGTCATCTTCTCCGACTAAAACCCACACAAACAATACATTTTCAGTGATCATTCAAACACACCATAAAGTAATGGTTGATCCTACAAACTGAGTCCATAGCTACTTTTTTCATCTTCATCACTGCCACCCACACCCAATACAATCTCAAATCCTCACCCAGATTGATTATAATATACACACACACACACATGTATGTATATATATATATATACAGAGAGAGAGAGACTGTTTCTAAACATGTATAGATATAATATATATTGTATGTAACAAACCCAAGTTTTGCGAATAATTTTTCATCTAAAAACCAAACAAACCCACCCCCAAAAAACTGCTTTCTCTCTCTCTCTCTCTCTCCCTCTCATGTATTTTGTATGTAGGTTCTGCTAATGCTATGGCGGTGTGAGTTTTCAACTGTATCATCATCATCATCATCATCATTATCATCATCATCATCGGTACCTAATTCCTTATGAGACTGCTGCCATTTTCAACAACTTGCCATCATCATCGCTTCAAATTATTCTCCTCATTTCTCACCTTCTTCCAACCCACCCCATCTTCCACGTGGATTAATCTTAATCACATCCACATGGAGCCCTCCACAATCGCCGCCGCACCAACAACCACCACACGACGCCGTAAGCGGAAGATTGTTGTCATCATGGGTCCAACGGGTGCTGGGAAATCCCGTCTCTCCATCGACCTCGCCACTCGATTTTTTGAAAACTCTGAGATCATTAACTCCGATAAAATGCAAGTATATCGTGGACTTGATATCACAACCAACAAAATCACAATGCAAGAGCAGCTTGGCGTCCCTCATCACCTTCTCGGAGCCTTTGACCCGACTAAATCAGTAATCACTACATCGGAATTCCGGAAAGTAGCATCAGAAATCATCTCCGACATTAAATCCCGTCGCGGCTTGCCGCTTGTCGTCGGCGGCTCAAACTCATGTATCTACTCGCTGGTGACAAAACGGTACGACCCTAAATCAGACGTATTCAACGGACCAGACCCACATCCGGTGAGCTCCGAGCTTCGTTACGAATGTTGCTTCATTTGGGTCGATGTTTGCTTACCGGTTTTAAACCAATATTTATCAAAGCGGGTGGACGAGATGCTGGACTCCGGTATGTTCGAGGAACTGGCAGAGTTTTACCGGTCAGGCGAACACATGACGGTGAACCGGTCAGGTTTAGGGCAGGCAATCGGAGTACCCGAGTTCGAGACGTATTTCCGGCGAATGGAAAGCTCGGATTCCGAGGAGGATGTGATGGGGCAGGGTGAGGCGTACGATGAGGCCGTGAGAAGGATCAAGGACAACACGTGTCAGCTGGCGAAGAAACAAGTGAGTAAGATCCTACGGCTGAGGGACGCCGGTTGGGAATTAAAGAGAATAGACGCCACGGAGGCGTTCAGGGGGGTGATCTCCGGTGAGTCCGGCGGAGCAAGGGTGGCGGAAATCTGGGAAAAACAGGTGGTGGAACCAAGCATGAAGATCGTGAAGCATTTCTTGGAGGAGTAGGTTTTCCAGCTATTTCCAGCTCTCTCCCTCTCTACACATTTTGATTTTTTTTAAATTTTTATTTTTATTTTTATTTATTTTTCTTCTCACTGTAAAAGTTTCTTCATAATCTGGGGGACATGGGTTTAGTTAGCTTAGCACCTGGGTCTGACCCATTCGGACCAAATGGCTCGGGACAAGGGACCAAATGGCTCGAGACAAAGGACCAGGGGGGCGACCAATTTTGAAGCAACAGGACGCCCTTTTGTTTAATTTTATATCCAAATTCCACAATTATTTAGATTCATTTTCTTTTTTAAATACAGGAATTATCCAAATTCATTATTGTTTAAAATATCACAATTAAAAAAATAAATTGTTTCATAGAACGCATTTCTTAGGGGGTTAGGTGTTTTAATGATACATTTTTTATTTAAAAATAAAAATATAATTTTGGAATCAGAATAAATAAAGTCAAAATTAACAATGAGGAATGAGGAAGGACGCATAATATTACAAAGTTGACCTTCTATTTTGTTTGCGGCCCAAAAGGCCTTCCTTGGACGCATTCTTTCCTTTCTATTTTCTTTTGTTACCAAAATCCCCACTTTATTTACCTCTTTTAAATTTTATTTTAATAAATTTTTTAATAGACTCTAAAGAACAGTTTACCAAAAACTTATTCGGGTAAGCACTTATCAAATCATTTATTTTATCGAATAAATATGATAAGCACCCAAAATCTTATCCGGTAAGAGTCAGACAAGGACCAAGAGTCTTACTGGGTAAGTAAGTACGACGACTTTTACCATGGTAAGCGATTACTAGATAAATTGTTGCATACGATGTTATTTTGGTGGACTAAAATCTTACCCAATAAATAAATGACAATGTTAAATTTTACTGGTAACAGTGTTAAATTTAACCCGTAAACGCTTACCGAATAAATGTTTGGTAAACATCCCATAAATCTTACTTCAAATGCTGATATATATTTAAATTTGATATATATATATATATATATATATATATATATATATACTAGTTGTGTACCCATGCAATGCGGCGGTAGCCATGAATTTTAACGATTTTGAAGTTCCACTGGTTTTATAAGATAAGATTTAACGATGATATATGTTACACTTGGTCTTTACATATTAATACAATTTGAATAAATAAGAGTTATGGTTCCAATTACAAACTATCGATGAAAAAAATTGTATGACAGTTTAAAATTCAACATATTTAAACGACTCCACAAATGTATTCAATTTACAACAAGATCAAAGAACCAAGAAACTTGAGTTTTAAGATAAATACTCAAAACCAATAAAGAAAACTATAAGTTTGACAGATCATAAGCCATGAAAAGACAAAAAAAATATGGGTTTTAGAATAAAATTTCAACTGCTTACCCTCTTTCTTGACCATAAACTCATATTAAGGTTGAATTAATACATGTATATATATTTCAAAAAAAAACCCAAGAACATATTAATTCAAAACGTATTATACAGTGCAATTTGGACAGTCTAACCCCAAAATATATAGTATATATATAAATAAATAACTATAAAAGTATAAATCGTAAATATTAAAAATATTTTTTCAGAGTATATATAATATATAATAATATAATTAAGTCAAAAAATATTCAATATTGGACTCATTTTGAAGGTATTAACGAGACAATTATAATGGTGTAACTTGTTAAAATAAAAATGTATTTTTTAAACATGTTTTAATTGATATACGATTATATATGTTAATTTGATAAATGTTTAAAATGAAACATTTAAAAGTAAAGGATGTAAAGTAAATTAATTAATTAATTATAGGGGTATAAAGTGTAAATTTAAAATTATAATTTTTAAAAAATGGTTGTGAGAGGGTGAGTGTATGTGAGTAGGTGAGTGTATATGAGGAGAGGAGGGGGTGTAAAGGTGGAAACGTGAGTATAAAAGGTATTTTGGTCATTTAGTATTTTAAGACTTTAAGACTTTTGGTAAATTTGCTTAATAAGATAGTATAGATATATATATGTATATATATAGAGAGAGAGAGAGAGAGATTTATTATTTTGCAACAAATTGTATATGGACTTAATATAATATTTGGTGTTTTTACACATTAAATACGCATAACAAATTGAATTCAATTTTGTGGGGGTACTTGAAAAAAGCTAAATTATTTAATGGTTATTGGTTGGTAAGATATAACTTGATTGGATTAAGAGATGGATTTAAAATATCGTTTTTTAGTGGTTACACAAAATAATTAACCTAAATAATTTATAGTTATAAAATACAATATAAAATATTTAAAGAATTATATACAATTTCAACAATTTACAATTAAGGATTTTTATGTTCTAACATTATTAACCATCAAATCTAAAATTACATCTAAATTGTGATATTGTAATATTACAGCTTTTCGATAACAATGCCTTGTGGTACAAATCAAATCACCACCGTGACATATTTAATGATTGTAATTTTCCCTCTACCCTAAAAATATACCTCAGTCTATCATTAGTTCATCGGTTCCATTACTCCTAAATTATAAGCAAATCTCTTCACTCTGGTAATTAATAAACGAGGAAGGTGTAATTAAACAAGCATCGACATTCGTTTTAGTTTGATTCAATCCAGTTATGGCTTAATAAAGAAAAAACTATAAAGTAATAATAAATAATAAAGGAATATAATAATTGACATTAAATAAAAAATAAATAGAATAGAATAGAAGAAATGATAAATGGAAAGAGTGGTCCAAAATTCGTAATGCTTTTTTCGGTCGTTGCTCATAATGAAGGTCTACACCTCTAAAATGGTAGCATGAGTTTAGGGAATGACACCATGTCTTTTCCCCCTATCCAATGCCCCATCTTTATATCTATCAAAAACACTGTTTTTTAATTAAAAACAAAAACAGTATATCAATATATATTTTTTAATTCTACAGGATAATGATTTTCTATTAAGGACTTGTTCATTAAATATTTACCGAATAAACGTTTAATGATATGATTTAATAACATTGTTTTGAATATGGAAAATACTGAGAGTTATTCCTGGTAAGATCGTAAAAAGCATAACGAGGACATATGGTCTTACCTATTTAATTGTGATGTCATTGTCAGTACATGGTTATGCGGTAAGCATTTGGTAAACGTCATTTAAACTACTATTTTGTCTCTGTAGTTTATTAAAATTCCGACTTTTGTTTTTTTTTTTTTTTACTTTTGAAATTACTATTTTAGGTGGCGTTTGTTTTTAAAAAGGTGTTAAAGTCTGAATTCTGATTTCACTTCTGATTTATAAGAGATGATCCTGAAGTCTGAAATTTGAATTAGTACGATTGTTTTTTATTTATGAAATTTGAATCGGTCAAACTGGTGCAAAAATATAAAAGATAAATAGTTTTTTTTTTTTACAAAAGTATAAAAGATAAATAATTTGCTAACATATCTTTTCTAGCCCCAAAATATGAACCATTTAGTAGAAGGTGGATTAGGATTAAGAGTTATTAAAGGATACATTTACCACTCAAAAATTCAGAAGACATTTAGGGCTTGTTTGTTTTTCATAAAAAAATTCCCATCAGTCTCTTATGTCTTATTCGTTAAGAGATAAGGTTATTTAGACTGTTTTTTTTTCATTTTTTCGAGGCACTTATGTCTTATTTTCCTCTTATCTGATAAAAGGTAAATCAACCTCTTATTGTTCTCCAGATTCTCAACAATGATGTTTCTCAATCGATTAACTTTAATCGATCATTTATCTCAATTGATCCTTACCAAATCAATGTCTACCTCTCTCAATTAATGTATTTTAATAGGATGCAGATATGTTAAACACCGTTAATGACATATTTATTTATATGAATGTTAATTATATAATATAGATGTAAATTTCATAATGATTATGAATAAATATGTGAAATTGTATAAATTTATCTATAAATTCAACACTATAATTTTTAATGGGTAAAATAGACAATTTAAAAAAATTCAAACGTTTATCAGATTACAAAAACAAACAGTCTTATTGATTCAGATTTCACACTTCAACGCCACTTTTTATAAATCGAAAGTGAAATAAGACTTCAGACTTCAGTGCCTCTTAAAAAACAAACACCACCTTAGAGTTTAAGCTCTTATATTAAAAATAAAACAAACGCTCTTAATACACAAACGTCTGAACAAATTAGACTTTAGAGGTAATTTTGACTAGATTAGTTATTATTAGATTTTTTTTATTGTTTCAAAATTGGATTCTAGTTTTAAAACATAAGTATTAAAAAGATAATTATATATACAACAAATCTAATCCCATGTAATAGGATCCTTTGATACTTAGAATACTACCAATCCATATATTCTTTCTAGATATTGTGCTCAAAATCTTGATACTTTTTCATTCTTTGAAAAGGGTATATAATATAATATATATATATATATATATATATATATATATATATATATATTACTCAACAAGGGTAACCCATTTGATTTTTGGGGTTTGTTAGTTGATTAATCATGTTATGGTTGTCCATGTGAATTTTAGTTCAAAATTTCTTATCATCACATGATCATCAATGACTTTCTTCATTTTTTATATTAAAATACTTTATTAAATATTCAATCATGAATGTCGTAAGTTAGTTAGTCAAGTAACATAAAAAAAATGTTAGCAACCAATTGTTTGGTCGGAATATTGAGACAATAGGAATCGTTATTGACCACGAAAGGTCATAATGGTTATTAAGGACAATTCTCTCCTAAGGAATGATTAAGCAACATGGTTAGGAAACCATCCGAGCAGTTGTGTAACACAAGGGTTGGAGCGTGATATATTTGGATGTTTGACTCGTCTTATTAAACACGCTTCATAGGAATCTGACCTATCTGCAACTATATATTTAGGACCCTATGAGATTACATGCAAGATGGCTCAAATACACACAGTTTTAACGGAAATATCCATATATGTTATATATTTCATCGTGATCGTAAT